AAGTAAAAATCCAATCTGTTGAATGGATATAATTCATAATAACCAAATTACATCTATTTTCTTGGTACATCCCAAAAGAGCCTATATAGCTTACCCTCAATATTTATGAGTGTTTTCATTATTGCATTGGTCTATATATTTTTTTTCAAAGATTACCTAATTTCTTATTTTTCCCTTGCTACATTCCTTGCTAAAGTTGTTGGACATTTTAAAGACTTCCTTGCATTTTATAATCCAATAGATACGAAATTACTGTAATTAAATCCTATATATATTTGGGGCATAGGGGATGCTATATTTTATCTTTGTATTTATGATCAGTCTTCCAGGGAATATACTGCTCTTGCTGTGAACACACACGGGTAGGTGTCAACATGCTTTGCAGGCAACCTAGCTTCAAGAATCACAGAAGTTTATTCAAGTAAGTGTCAAGTATTTTCCAGTGCCAGTCTCTCTCTCAACACTTCCTATACTCTTTAGTGCTGCATCTTTTTAGAGTATTATATCTTGCCCATTTGTGGCTGGAGGATTTGATCACAGTTCTACTCCATGGCAATGAGATTTATGTCAAGCTGCCCAGTAAGCACCTTTCTCACCAGCACTGCTGCAGTCTGTTCTTTAGAGGCAACATTAAGTACTGCAGCAGTTGCCTTACTCTATACTACATTCAAACTTAATATTTTCAGCTACACTATACAACATAACTGAAATATAATTAAGCTAGACCAATTAATACCGCTTCTTTTACACCAGCAGTACTTCACATAACAGAACTTATTGACAATTTAATGACCACTTACAACAAAGTAGAGTTATATCATCTGCTCAAATTCATCATAAAAATCAAAAAACCCTATGCACACCGATGGCGCTGTATTCAGCCAAGGCAAGTATGTCAGCTCACCCTTTCTAAATGTTTTAGGCATTAATTCTCCAGTCTACACTATATTATGTTTAGTGGACCAACTTAATATAATGCCTTCTGGAAGCAAATACATTCCTGTGTAAGTCATATGTGCCAAACCTAACAGCAAAGCAGAAAGAATTTATAACAACATCTTTTACTAACTGAAAAGCAAATGCAAATCTGAGGAAAGAAACTGACTAGAATAATAAGAGTGGAATTTACTCTGAGCTATGTGGGAAAATAGGCTGTAAATAAACCTACAGTAGGTACTTCACATTCAATCCAGCAGATAGGTTAAAACCTAAGCATCCCTCAAAGGTTTGACAACTACATTTGAATAGACCATTTCCTTCCCAGTTTGAGGCAGAAGGTATATTCCCATTCCAGCATCAGTTGTTACTCACGGAATGATGTCCCATCTGTAGTGACAGTTCACATACACCAAGTGACATTCCCTGCCCCAAGTCACCAATCCCGTATTTGCAACTCTAGAATTCAGACTGAGTTAAAAGTTGCAGTAACCTTTTAACAAAATATCACCAAATCATCACAGGAAAATACAGCAGCATTGCCCCTACTGTATGTAATTCAGAGTAATAATTTCCAGGGCAGAAGGGAAGCCTTCCTTTGTTCTACAGGCTAAAAAAGGTATAACTTGAGCATACATTAACATGTTAAAATCAATGCAAAATTTGCAGGTAAATACATGTTTTATTGCTTCTAGCATATTTAGGAAATAGCATTTTTTTTTTTATGACAATGGTGGAAAAATACAAATTATTCTTCAGGCCTGAAATGCAAGTATCCAAAGTCACAGGTAAATACAATGCCATCTAATTAGACATTTATCATTCAAATATGTAGGGGAAAGAATGTTAATAGTGATGAAAGACGACAGTAGGATGCCAAGACAGAGAATTTAGTAGAACATAGTAAAGCCAGCAAGATCATAGAAAAACTGGTCTTAAGACTTATCTCAGAAAATTCCCTAGCTTTCTGTATGTTGTAGTCTGAAAAAGTTTGGTTCCCATGCTCTTTATAAGATGTTTTGTAGGATCAGGAAAGAGATAAGGGATGAAGTGGCTGATATTTCTTGTAAGAAACATTGTTGCAGTAGCAGCTGGATTTTTCGGTCCTTGATCAGTTACCTGGTTGAGTTCATTCTGCTGTTTCTTCAGTTTAATCCAGAATAAATAATTTTATGATATGATGCAGGCAGCATACTTCAAATTTAATACAAAGCAGAGCAGAGCATTTCATCCACGTTGCATTTTCTTGCAATAAAAATAGTTTATGTGCTTTCAGAGAAACTACACATGATAAATATTCCCTGGAAAAGTATAATTAAAATAAAATCTCTAAGGTATATGCCAAAAAAAAAAAAAATCACATAGTTGACTATATATACTTGCATATGCTAAAGAAGTACTTTTCAGACAGAGGAGGAAGCTGTGCTTACGTAGGTGTTCTGGAATAGCAAAAACACAAGTAGAATGAATCTCATCTACAAATGTAATCATCAGATCATTAGTTTAAAGTTACCATGCAAGAAGAACTCGTCCCTTGTAAACAGATTAATCAAAAAAAAATAGCCTAGGGGAAAGACCAGGATATTTCACTCAAAACACACCAGATTTCAAATTTCATACAGTAGTTTTATTATCAAATGGTAAAAGACACTTAGTAATGATGCTATGCAGTTTTCACCAACAAAAAAAGAATGTAAAAGATGAACAGGTTACCTAACATCTCAAAGTTCTTCGCAATTAAGAAAAATTTACGTATTCCCAATTTCTCTTTTTGCTTCATGGTAAACATTATTTTCCTGTCTGAAAGTTATGGCTCTCCCTTAGATCTTGTCAGATTCCCATGAAGGAAAGGATGGGCTAATACAATATTCCCCAGCAGAGCTCTAATCTGTATTTTTTTTTGCCTTTTGCACAAGGCCTTCCTTATTCTTCAGGAATAAGGAAGTTCTTGTAAGTAGTTCTCATGTGGTAAGAAACTGCCTATGGCAGTTGGCAGCCAAAGATAAAAGACAGAAAAGATGGGTTTAAAAAGAAGTTACACACACAAAATCCCTAAGATTTTGCAAAAGAAAGTCTTATTTGTGACAACAAAAGCCCCTGTGCTGGGAAGGTAGCCTGAGCAACTGAAACAGAACTTTTATTTCCCCACAGCATAACCTGATCCCATCCACACAATGAAATGCAACTAAAGGAAAGTCTGAAGAAATGGCATGATTTATGGGAAAATCAAAAAACTTAATTCAGTTCCTTCTTTAATGCCAAAGTTACACCAAAATATCAGTTTTACAGAGTATAGAAGGAATTTTATAATAGCATCTATTATTGACTGAAAAAAGTGAGAATCTTTGAGAAAAGGACTACAATAATAAGAGTGCATTTTTTTCCCGTAGAAAAGTAGGCCATAAATACGTCTTCAGCTACATCTCATTCAATAATCCAGTGGATATGGAGCTCTCCACAGCTAAATTCATACCCTAGTTTAGTATGGAGTAAATTTCACAGGTAAATGAGCTCTGAGATTAGAATTACAGCAATGTGATCACCATTCAGTTCTAAAAGCCAATAAAGCACAGGTTTAGAGTCAATTCTAAATAAGAAACTAATTCGCAAAACTAAGTGATCTTATAATACACTTGTAAACAGAGGTAAGTTATAATAATTCCTTTATCTACCAACACAAAAATACCATTTATTGTGTAGGCCAGATTTAAATAAAAGACAAAAATAGCATATCAATAATATTTACTATATATTTACATGTAATACTGTGATAAAATGAAGTCAATCAACATTATGTTACAAGAAGAAGAAAAAAAAAACTCTAAGGTACAAGTACCTTTCACATTATCACATTTATGTTCTCTTACATCCGAAGTGATCCATCATACGACGAGTTAACACAAGCACGTAGTCCAGTAAAACCCTTGAGCTCGAGCACATGCTAATGTGCTAACTCCCATTTTCAAAGACACTCTGGGGCACAGAAACTTAAAGCATATAAGCAGGATTGCTTTCAGTAGGATAAACTTAAAATTGCACCCAAGTTCTTTGTTGATCAGGACCTAATTTTATGGGATGCCAGGGACAATACAAACTGCAACAGTTATGACCATACAGCGGGAGGGGGTATCATATACCCTTATTCAGTGAATATATGTATTTATATTTTTCATTAAGAGTGAATCATAGCCATCTGCCCAGCACCAGTTACTGACTTACCAGAAAAAGGGAATAATCTTTAAAGTTTATATACACTGACATGCTAGATTTTTCTTACGTGATTCATTGAACAGCATATGAAATCTGTTCTTGTTAAAGAATTGTACCAACCTGTGTACCAGATATTTCTTCTAGCCAATCAAGCTGCAATGGAAGATTTTATACAATTTAAACATTGTTTGAAAAATTGTAGTAATACACTGCTTAAAGTTATATATGTTTAAATCAGTTGCAAAATGAAGGTTTTTTTTCTTTTTATATTGGCAGGAAAAAAAAATCCATGCAAGCGAAATATTGGAAAAATAATCAACATTAAAACTCATCAGCCAGACAGGATCAAGTTTTAGCCTGCTCTCTTCCTTCCTATATCCTCTCCCAGAATAAGAATTTACAGATGACAAGGAGGAATAATCTGACACTCCTTTGACTTTTTTAATCCAGTTTCTAAAGCAGATATTGGTTCAAGTATTTAAAACCATATAGCACTAAAATAGAAAGAGTAAACCATCAGGAAGGTGAGAGTGTTAACTGAAGTTAAAGTACTGCTCAGAGAAATATCTTTGTTTCTCAGTGAGAATTGCTATTATATGATGCTATTTTTCTGGCACTACAAAAGGCAAAACAAGAGAAATTTTTGATGAGAGATGTACTCAGACCAGATCACATGCAAGTCTGCAGAGACCTGTAGTGTTACAAAACTGGATTGAATAATTGAGAGTTTTTTCTTTTTTTTTTCTTTTTTCTTTTTTAAAGGAAACAGTACCTGCAGTTCATGTCTGCATTACCATTTTTGCTCTGCTCAGAATTCAAGCAAAGTGCATCTTCCCTTCCCTCATCCTGTACCTTCCCACAAAGTAAAACACTGATGGTTTGGTTACAAAACTATGTGTAGTACATTTCTGAACATAGTTTCTTCAATTTTTAGGCCATATGTTCATTTAAAGACATTCTTATCCATTACAAGCTTCCCATAGAAGATCTAATAGAAAAGCAAACATACAAATATCAGAAGTGCTGATCCTGAGATGAAACATGGGTAATTCTGATTCAGTCTGATCCTTATTCAAATTTCTGTTTCAGTTTCTTCTGGAAGACAGCTGGTAGGATGGAAAGGATGGCTAAAATCATGAGGACAAACACAGAGTTCCAGGAAACAGCTTCACCTGCTGTTGTAAGTTGGTACAGTGTTGTCCCTGCCTTAATTGCTACAAAAGATGGTGGTGCCACACCTGAAGGAGAAACCAGAAGGATAGGATGGTGAAGAAAACAAAACAGCTTGACAGGGAAAATATCATAAATGGGATAGGAAAAAAAAATCCTAAATTAGTCACCTAACTAACATTAGAGTTTCAGACTTTGGTACCTTCTACATTTAAGAAGGCTATAAATACAAATCAGAAAACAAGAACCCCTTATCTCAAGAACTATTTATATGCTATGCTTATACTGCTTTATGTAAACTCAACCACAGGACACCAGAAAAAAAATCCGTGTTATCTAGACTGTGTACATTTCAAATCATCTCTCTACAAACTCATCTTAGTCAATTCATAAAGAAAAACATAGATAGTTTTCTAATCAGGTTAAGAAGCATTTAAAAACGATTTTAAACTTTTTACCACTACAGTAATCAAATTACAAATTAACTCCCAGAAAGGTGTGATGAACATGGAGAGGAAAGAGGAGAAACAATGCTTTGAACAAAGTCACGTACATCCTCATACAATTAAACTGAACTGCAAGAAAATTTCATGGAAATACAGCAACTGTGAACTGGAACAAAGGAAGTTATTAATGTGTCACAAGAAGGTGTATTTCTTTAAAAAAGTTAGCCACATCTCATCATAATAGTCCTCAAAACTGAAACTTTTCAATGTTTGAAGTTCCACATGCGGAGAAGTAGGAAATAATGCATTTCTGTAATCTTTCAGCCATCCAGTAGATGGTGATCTCTGCTGAACAATCCATGAAAACAAAAGCAAAAATATCCCCTCTGGCTGCCCCAAAATTTTAAAATTAATCAGGATTCTTACCTAGGAAAGTGCCAATGAAAAATACTTTCAATGGTACATTTATTACAGGAGATGTTATATTGATGAACCAATTAGGAAGAAAAGGCGTTATTCTCAGAAATATTATATAGTTAATGAGGTGTTCTCTGTGTCTTTCAACCTGTCAGGGAAGAGGGAAAAAAATACAAAATTACTTCATTGCTAGAAGCTATTAGTTTCTTTGTATATCTTCTGTTGCAAAAAATCCCAAACAAACAAACAAAAAAACCAACACACAACAACAACAAAAAAACACCCCAGAGTTAAGTGATTGACTTAAGCAACAATCAAAAAAATCACCTGTTAAATAGAACTAAACTTAGTCTGGAAATACAAGTCTGTGGTAGAGTATGCTGACAGTGCATTCGATTCAGTTAATTTAAACAAGTAATTCTGCACAGTGGCAGGTCTAATCCTAACTATGTTTTTCCCTGTCCCACAGAAAAAAAAAAAAAAAAAAAAAGCTTTTATTAGTTCTAATGCTCACAGACCTGTTTGTTTAAATTGAAACTGCAGAGATTTATTGCCATAGTTACGGAGGTTTACTTGCCATTAGTTACACCAGACAGGTTTAAAAATATATACATATCAGTTGCAAACTCTTCCTCTAGGAAAAGGGCTTCCCAAAACAAAATCATTTAAAATTTTTATGTGATTGCTTTATCTGAAGTTGCTTACAGGCAATATTTGTTCTCTGTCCCTAGCTCAGCCGAACCAATTCATTCTATGCCCAATTTATTCTCATTCAGTCTACAAAACACTATAAATCCAAATATTCCCCCATGTTTAAGAACAGGAAGAGTAATTATACAGAAAGGAGACAAAACCTTCACTCTCTGATTATATTTATGGGTATGACACCCTCCAATTTTCCATCTCAGTTCACTATTACATTTTCGATCATAAATTTGAGTATTTATTTGAGTATCTACCTGGTCTGACCACTTTACTGCCTTTTCTGTTAAATATCTGTATACAACAGGCCGTCCCACTAGGTATGAAAGCATATAGCAGAACGAAGCTCCAAGTCCTGAGCACTGCAAGAGAATGGAAGGAGAAAAAAAAAAAAAAAAAAAACAAAAACCTCTTATTAATACTAATATTATATCCCTGTTAGACTAGCCAGATGTAGCCTGCTTCTATTGCCTAAAAATGTTGTCAATATGAAAATAATTAAAACTTTGCAAATAAGTGCAGAATGGCATTCAAAAATTCATAATTTTGGTCCAACATACTGACTCAGTCATCTAGTTCTTTAGCACTAAGGCTCACTATGACTGCATCTTTTCCCCAGGACATTTTTGAAAATCTATCAATAACATACATTCCATATCTTAATTTAAGTTTCTTGATTATTTAAGTGATTTAAAAACTGATGCATCTTGTAGTGCAATAATAAAAATGTAGCGCTTGCAGAATGTTCTGAAATTACAATCAGGTTCTGGTGGATGCCAGACAAATCTATAGTGAAGACAACTCTCTGGCAGATTAGTACCCATCTGCCTCCATTATTAAGAAAACCTGGAGAAACATTTTAGTAGTTTGGATCATAAACCAATGCTATGGTAGATTTCAAAAGTAATGCCATTCCGATAATAGAGCTGGACTGGAACTCATTAATTTCTCAAAACAAGTTACACTTAACTATTTCACTTGATCTTTGATCACTACAGACAAAAAGCTGTTTGGATGCTTGGTTGTATTCCATATGGATAGAAATACATGCCCTCTCAAACTGTTTTCCATACTTACCAGGCAAACAAGAACTAAGGCCAGTGGGAAGGGATAAAGGAAACCTGACAGGATACTGAGAAATATAGACCCAGGGATAGCAAATGTTTGCAAGCTAGATACATTTTAGTTAAGGGAAAAATATATATTAAAATATATATTAAAAAAACCAAAGCTACTCAACTTTATAAACAATCCTGCTATATATTAAAACTGGGAGGAAAAAGAAGGAAACAAACAAGAAACCCACACAAGTATATACTTTTGTGACTCAAAAGATCCTTCAAAATATCTTTGCAGAATAGCACATGAAACCCAAACACCTTGGGGCTTCAAACAAGAGTGAAATACAAGTATGGCGATTCAAAAGACAGGACGAAAAACAAAACAAAACAACAACAACAACAATAAAAACCCACAAACACACAAGGGCTAAATACTCCAGTGACTAATACAAAATAAATTACCAAATAGAAGCTGTACTACATTTCCCATGTTTCCCTTTGTGCTACAACTGACAATGGAGACCTACTGTGACATTATATAGTTCTGCTTTTATACAGACTAATCACATACAGGCTAGTCATTCTCTCTGAAAGATCCAGAGAGCTCCCTTCAGAACACATAATCACAATGAGATGGACTAGTGACATGTCAAGGAAATTACTACTTTCTTATTAACATTACTGATTTTAAGGACTGCAATTTCAGTAAAATCCCTCCCAGAAATCAATTTGAAGTATTCCCAGAAAATGATTTAAAAAAAAACAAGTATGTAAAGTTACAAATTGCTTCTATAAGGCAGCACTAAATTTATTCAGTTTATAGACAGATACGGTGCAATCACTGATCTCTCTATTTGCAGTCAAAATGTTTTTGTTGAATCATTGATGGTAAGAGACTCCTGCTCATTCTTAGATCTAGCCTACAGTACCAGGCTGCCAAAATATGGCCAGGTAAACCCTTGACACAGATTAGGGCATTATTGTTTCACTGTAGGCTTCTGTGTAATACCTATGTATGTTTTTCAGAGAAGCAGAAATCCTGCTGAGCTTAAGGTTTGCTCAGTATAATTGTGACTACAGTGCAAGTTCAGTTCCTGAACAGAAATCTGGTAATGCAAAGAAATTGAAGAAAACCATTCCCTCTGAACTAAACCAACTGAAATACCAAGCAGTCAAATTGTCTTTCTTTACATCAAGACCAGTACAGCTTTTTCTAAGGAAGCGTCCAGATTTTCACATAATTACAACATGCTTGTGTACTGATCACAGTCCTCTCCTAACTCCAAGGTATTAGATATTGTTGCATCAGCTGTTGTAGTAGCTTATTAAACACTCGGTCATGTTCTATTTTTGTTTATATACAAATATTAACATCTAGTTTTCCTCATTTAAAACCTATTATTTGTGAACTCCTGTCAAAAAGAATGAGCCATAATTATCACACGTAGCACATTTGGCACTATTTTTTCAGGGGGTTACAGAAAGTCTCCTGCATTAAACTAAAGCAAACCTTTCATAAATTTCTTCAACCTTTCAAAAGTTATTAACCTTTAGTCAAGTGTTCCAGTGGAGAGTGTGCTTAATGATTAATTAATATACTCAGCACTCGGAGAATAAAAGTTAACATAGGCAGCCTTTGTCTCCCCTCAGGCACAAAGTATCTCAGAAATTCAACTCTCCAAAAAAAAGGTTATACGAAGAACGCTTAAAATGTTTTCCTTAATGAGTGCATAAAAAATTCTATAAACAATTCTCACTCTCATTTTGGGCACTTTTGAGTATCCCAGGAATAGAGAAGCAGTAGTTTCAATACTCTTTTAGAATTAGCTTTTACTTCTACCTAGCAATTCAAGTTTTGACACTAAAAGTCAGCATAATGCTAAAATAAGACAAAGTCTACCATAAAAGTTTAAAATACCTTTTCAGGATATAAACAGCCAATATGAAGCTGCAAGAAAAACCTTCAATAGTATTTCTTACCGCACATACATCTAATTCAAATTCCTTCTACTGCAGTTCAAGTAGTATACTGTGAAACAGAAGAAATATTTGTAAATTCAGGGTTCTGGGAATATCTGTATCTTACGAACATTACTAGGTAGTTTGTCTCCCTCACATTTGATCAAAAATTTAAAGTAGCCTTCTATTTTTTATTTATTTCTTTCAGAGAAATATAACTAGATCCAAAAAAAAATTTCACATCAGAAAAAGGATACAAAACATACGTGGCAAAATAAGCCACTAACACTTGAACATAAAAGGTGTCCTTATATTTGGACAGGACTTTTCCCAAGGCCTTTGCATCATCCATGTCTCTAGGAATCTTTATACATTCTCTTTCTTCTCTGGAAAAGAAAGAAACAAAAAATCAGGAATGAGTGAAACAAGCAAACAGTACAGTAAAATTACTTGCTGAATATATAGATGGTAAAATACTCGATGACCGAATTATTATCTCAGCAAACAAACCACATTATTGTTGCTGTGATAACATTCTTTAGCTAAACTCTTTCAATACCTGCAGTTTTTCTGATGATAAAATTAATTATTTTACATGTTTGCAAGACATCTTTATTTGCTACTCATTAAATGTTCTACTTTATTTCTAGGACTTCTCACCAAAAAGAAACTGAGCAAAATAATTACTCAAATCTAAGTTTGGCAACTATGCAGTGGTCAATATTTCAGTCAAAGAAGCAAGCACGACTGCCTTAATGAAAGTGCAGGAAGAGAGGGTAAGCTTTGCCTAGCAAATCAAGAAAGTTCTCAGACTGAAATTTCATATCACACCTTTTCTGGTGCAACTCCAGGCTGCACAGCTGAGCAGTCCCTCTGCCTTTATATTGGACCTAATGATTGAACTGTCATGAATTTAAATTGCTGAGCAAGTTAACCATACATGGAAGGAGAAAAAACAAAGTGTTCAGACAAGAAAACTTTCATTTTGTGAAACTACCTTCCTGACACATCAGCGTTAGAGGCAAGAAATGGGAGAGAAATAGAAAATGAAGCTTAGGCATAAAGGAAGAAGGATGGCCCCTTTTGTACCAGACTGCAGTTACTTCTCTCAACTGCAGAACCAACACTGCCAATTATCATTTCTGAAGTGACAAGTGGTAACGTTTTAAAACATCATCCCTCAGCTATGCAATAGTAACACTGATTAAAACAAAATTTCAGAGTTTAAATAGATTCTACAAGTTAGTGCACATTTCTATATAAAGTTCTGGCTGTAAATTGGATCCCGGAGGAGGGGAAAAAAAAAAAAAAAGAGAGAGGGAGAGATTGATTCAAGTTATGTCTAGAATCTATTTAATTTATGTTAGCTTAGGATCGACTAATGCCATATAGGTTCCTCTACAACCTGATGTTGCAAGAAAAGCAAATAGGTTAATCTTTCCTGACATACTTACTCATTAAGCTGCGGAAAGTTTTTATATACTAAAAACATAAGGAAAGCAGCTGATAAGAAGATGGACACTAAAATAAGAAGAGACATTCCAGCTGATCCACCTTCTGCATGGGCTTTCCCTAAAATTAAACAAAAACAAAGTTAAGAAAGAACTTGCAACAGAATTCAAACTTATGCTTTAATAAGAAATAAGTCCTCCATGTACACAGTCCTTCCACAAATGGCTTCAATAACACACGCAACATTCTGCTCATATTCCCTGAATGCTCTGAAACAAATCTGAACTTCTTTGGAGATCTTCAAAACCCACATGGGTAGCAACCCTGTGCCACATGCTCTAACTGTCCCTGCTTGAGCAGGGGGGTTGGCCTAGATGATCTCTAGAGGTCCCTTCCAACCTCAACCATTCTGTGATTCTGTGAACTTCTTATATAAGCAAATGTCCCATAAAAGTCAACTTTGATCCTTAAATACTTTCTCTCAATTACATTTGTAAAGGGGAAAGGCAGTCCGAATACAAAAACTCTACATGCTTTTTTTTCTTTGCCATGTCACTTGCCAGTTGTTAATTAAAAAAAAAGCGTAAGCCTCTGAAGTTAAGATTTCAGTATGTTCTTTGAAAGATGCTTATTAAAAAGCTGTTTCACAAGAATGAACACTAGCCACAGCCACAACTAGCTAGAAGACACTCAGCAGAAGAAAACACATACATATACACATCAGCAGCTTGACATATAGACTCCCTTGACCAGAGTTTGGAATTACACATATTTTATACTCATACGTATAGATCTAAACTAAGTCTTCCTGTCTTCTATAGCTTGTGCAAAGGCAACACAACCACAGTTACGATGCAGGTCTCTTCCCCACTGAAGGTTTTGGCAGTGTTCAGCGCTACTGTCACCTCACTGCTTAACACAGATACCCCTCGGCGCCCATTCTCGGCACCCACGCGAGGATGGGC